TAATTTTATATGAATATTTTCATTTTAAAAGTTATTGCTGGGTATTAGGATCTGAAATACATTTTCTTCTTGTTTACTGATGGTTGGTCTACCATGAACTTGTAGTATCTGGATGGAATGATAAATGGATGGACAGTTGAATGAAGGTAGGTAGATAGACTGATAGACACATAGATAGAGAATATATAAAGAAACGAATTGAAAGATCCAATGCTTAAGGAAAAGAAGTAAAGATTGTCGGCACATTCAGCACATGCGATGTTTGAAAGCTCTATACACTTTAAGAATATCTAATCATCTGTAATATATTTGCAGAGTTCATTAAAAATTCTGTATATACATCTGTAATATCAATATCTATACATTTAGAGACATATTATTTTATCAGCTATCATATAAAAGTACATAAAGTCTTGGCTCAGTGACTGTGGCACAGTGGCTAATGCGCCGGCCACATTCACCAAACGTGGCAGGTTCAAACCCAGCCTGGGCCAGCTAAACAACGACAACTGCAACAACAACAGAAAAAAATAGCCGGGTATTGTGGCGGGCGCCTGTAGTTCCAGCTACTTAGGAGGCTGAGGCATGAGAATTGCTTAAGCTCAAGAGTTTGAGGTTGCCGTGAGTTGTGATGCCATAGCACTCTACCCAGGGCAACGTAGTGAGACTCCATCTCAAAAAAAAAAAAATTTTTTTTAAGTATATAAAGTCTCATTCTCTATATGTATGCAATGTCTATACATTTATAGAGAATAAGAAAGAGTAATAGACCAAATGTAGCAAATAGTAACAATCAGGGAATCTGGGTAAAGGGTTCACAGGAGTGCCTTATACAACTCGTTCAACTTCTCTAAACATGAATTATCTCTAAAGGCAAAGTTTAAAGAACAGATATTTTATATACATGTGGTACAAGATGATACTAATTTTAAGAGACCCTGCTCCACCAGTTGCTCCTCTTCTCTCCACTTGAAGGAAGAACCCCACAAATCAGTTTGTGGATTTGTCCTTCAGAGTGTTTGTCACAGAATAACTTTAGATTTATTGAGTTGCGTCTTTCCCAGGGCATTGATTTATATAGGAAGCCTCCCACCTGGTTTTACAAGGCCCGCACGGTCTTAGTAACGGCATGTGACAGGCCTGGCACACAAAAAGCCACAGACTAATATGAATCATAAACAGAAATGCAAAAGTATGAAACAAAATACTAGCTTATGTAATTCTGGCAGTTTCTTAAAATAAACCATTCATAGGTAGGATTTCTTTTTTCTTTCAAAAGTATAAGTTTAGCTCAGCATGAGGAAATCCAGATTAGTTAAAAGACAGCCCATCTGAGTCTCTTGATAAACGGCAAAGAGGCATTTTTCTTGAACAACACTTTTTGCAAACTAGGAACAACAAAACACAATAAAGAATAACTATCAGAAACAAAAAATGTATGTATTTTGTTGTTGTTGTTGTTGCAGTTGTCATTGTTGGGTTTTTGGTTTTTGTTTTAGCTGGCCCAGGCTGGGTTTGAACCCACCAGCCTTGGTGCATGTGGCCAGCGCCCTGTCTACTGAGCCACACACAGGTGGTGCCCCCAAAATGTATGTATTTACAAGAGAAATACTACAGGCATTACCACTCAGGCTAAAATTAAAATCATAGCCGTTATCATTGTTATTATTCAGCACTGTTCTTTTATTTCTTAACTTTATGATTAGCTATCTTAAAAATCCCAAAGAAGCCACCAAAAAGCTATTAACAAATAAGACAGTTCTAATCAGACCCAATATAGATACATCAAAGCTTCGTTTTACACCAGGCATCAAGGGTTGGCAAACTTTGCCCATAAAGATCAGAGAGTAAATATTTTGGCCATGCATTCTCCAGAGCAACGATGTATCTCTGCCATTGGAGCATGAAAGCAGCCATTGATAATGCATAAATGAATGGACGCATCTGTGTACCACTAATACTCTATTTACAAAAACAGGCAGGGGGTTGGATTTGGCCCACTGGCCATGGTTTGCTGATCCCTACTTTATACCCCAGAAAACAGTAGCTAGAAAAAAGTTAACATTTAAAACAGCAAAAACATATATAAAGACTTAGAAACAAACTTGCTGCAGGGCAATTTTGCTATGTGCAGCAAAAATTAAATTGCGAGTCCTTTTTCAACCCAATGATTCCATTTCTGAGATTTTATCCTGAGGATACATTTAGATAAGGGCATAAGGATGTGTACATAAAGCTATTTATTATGACGTTATTTATACTAAGTTGTCTACTAACATAATCCATGTCTGTGAGAAATGCAGTTCTTCAAAATAGGTTACAGAGTAGTGTGCATAATATCAGCTAAGTTTTTAAATATATGAGTATGCAAATGAGGTTATACACATGGTCCTATACATGGAAAAAAAACCTATAAGGAAATACACCCAATTGTTTTCTTGGCACTTATATCTTTTTCTTTTCTTTCTTTCTTTTTTTCTTTTTTTTTTTGGAGACAGTCTATGTTGCCCTCAGTAAAGTGCTATGGCATCACAGCTCACAGCAACCTCAAACTCCTGGGCTTAAGCGATTATCTTGCCTTAGCCTCCCAAGTAGCTAGGACTACAGGTGCCTGCCACAACGCCTGGCTATTTTTTTGTTGCAGTTGTTATTGTTGTTTACCTGGCCCAGGCCAGGTTAGAACCCGCCTACCTGGGTGTATACACGTGGCCAGCACCCTACCCACTGAGCTACGGGCGCTGCCCAGGCAGTTATTTCTAAAAGTAGATTCGTGAGAAACTTTCTTTCTACTTTTTCCTCTTTTTTGTTTTCCCAACTGAGCTGGGAAATGAAATTTTTCACCTTTAAAAGGAAGCCAGGCTATGGTTAACCAGTTTGATGAAAACATTTCAAATTATATATAAAACCAGCACATAGTGCCCCATGATAGCATTAATGTACACAGCTATGATTTAATTTAAAAAAAAAAAAGGAAGCCAGCAAACAAAACCCCCATGCTGAACAATTTGCTCACATTTCTTATGAATTTTGAAGGAGCCCCTATACAGTATCCTCCTCAAACTAAGTATAATAATACAGATTTAAAATTTTATATTAAGATATCCCAGGAAAGTTCTTTACATTATTATAACCACTTCATTTCCTGAAGATAGAAATCTTTGGGTTACAATTAACGTAAAAAGGAAATACAAGATCTGGAAATCTTATATTTTTCTGATCCCTCAGTGGCACTTCTGTGAGCCTGAGTGTGCACGTATGTACACATCTGTCTATTAAGGAAGAAAAGGCAGAGAAGGGAAATAGGAAATGGACGAGAATGGTAGATGAAGGACTAAGATGAATTAATGTCCTACAGGGAAATAAGTATTAGCAAACCTACTCTTCAAGGTCTTATTTACGGTATGGGAATCTCACCTGGTGGGTTAGAGGAAAACCCTGACACTTGCGAATTCTCATTTATAATTTACCGAGACTAAGTTTGGGTCTCCTAATAGAAAATATAAGTCTGTGCGATTTATAGCTAGTTACGAAATGTAAGCACATTTTCCCTTCCAACTGACAATGGATATCCACTTAATTATGTTGCCAAGAGTTTCACTTGTTATAAAGTGATCTGTATTTAATTCTCAGGTACTTAAAATCTTAGGGAAATGGAAACGGGAAAGAAAGAAAAATGATGATTCTTATAACATCTCAGAAATTCTTTGTGGGTGTTAACTGAATGTAAGTTACCTAGCACAACTCAAAGTTGTCAAAAAGAGAAAAAAAAGCACATACTATTTTTGTCTTCTCAAAACAATTACCTTATCTGGCTTTGAAATCTTCCTACCTCCCTCCTGAAGTGGCTTTCTCCAATAGTTCAGCATAAAAGTTAGGCTCAATGCAAACAGAATATCTTCTAGTCATAAATAGTTCCAACTTTGGGGGAGGGGAGAGTATATGTTTGACCACATATGTGAATATGTGTACTGTGTTTCCCCAAAAATAAGACCTACCCCAAAAATAAACCCTAGGAGGATTTCTATGCATTTGTTAAATATAAGCCCTACCCCCATAATAAGACCTAGTGATGGGCGTGGCTATGCAGATAGCCATGCCCTGCATTTCAGCGCAGAGCGATAAGCAAGACTGGAATACCTTTTATCTGCCACAGCTCCTTTCTCCAAGCTGTTCACACTTGCGCAGATGCTCGTGTGGTAACCGTGGTCGCAGGCATCCTATTGCGCAGGTGGGAACAGCTAGGGGAAAGGAGTTCACACATCACTAGCGCCAGCTCCACCAACAAGGTCGGCTCCCCCTGTCAGGTTCCAGAAGAAGATGACTTAACTGCATTTGAATAAATGGAGATTGTTGTATTATACTTAATAAAAATAAGACATCCCCTGAAAATAAGCCCTAGTGTGTCTTCTTAAGAAAAAATAAATATAAGACAGTGTCTTATTTTCAGGGAAACACGGGTATGTGTACACACATGTGAGTATGTGTGAGTGAGCTTGTCATTGCTAGAAAGCGATGGGAGAAAAGTGAGTCTCCCTAGAGCCAACTTAGAAGTTAACAGGAACAATATGACAACTACAAGGTCATCCAGAGTTCTCAAAAGTGAAGTCAAAAGATGATGAGGTGTTAAGTACATTTTGTAAGCCATGAAAATCCAGGACACAGTGAACAAGAAATGGAGTTAACTCTGAACACAGCAGACAAATAAGTATATTGATAGAACCTAATTTTCATTAGCTTTCCTTTGCTCCCAATCTCATTCAAATGCAATAAGCAGAACTTACTATTATCAGATTCAAACATAACCTACATCAGGCTTGCTTTGAGATCTGGGATACCAGAATTCTACAGCATTTCTGTTCAATTTCCCCCTTAAAAAAATTCTTGGAAACGAATTTAATATGGTTAAAAAGTGAGAAGTCATGCTTCAAATCCTAAACTACATTTTTCTTATCCGGTAGTGCTCTCTGTGATGTGTATCACCCAACCCCGTAGAAACTTACCCTTCAACTTGAGGTCAACATTATGTCTTAGCCAAGGATAAACCCCATAGCTTGGCATATCTTCAGGAATTGGATTATTGTTTATCCAGCCATCACAAGCGAACCGGAAGAAATTATCACAAGGATCCACAGACAGATTCACTTTACTCAGGATGGCAGCAGCTATTTAAAAAGAAAATCATAGGATTAATGACAAGCACTGAATTGTGTACTGTTCTCTTCCAAATTAAACAGTGATTTGATATCAACCAGTACCCAAGCCTTGGCTTTTATATTTCCCCTCAAGTTAACTTTCTGAATCAACTTCACTGTGTTAAATGAGCGAGTGGTTATTAATGCTATTTGTTTTTTCAGGACTATCCTGAACATCTGTGGCCTTCTTTGCCTTATTTGCCTTTTGCAAAGTGACTTTGCTACTCTTCCCAGCAAATGGTAGAGTCTATTTCCACTGCTTTGAATTGGGCTGACCTTCTCACTTGCTTTAACCAATAGAACTGACAGAAGTAGCTTCTTGTGAGTTTCAAAGCTAGGCCTTAAGAGACCTTGGGCTGTCCCTGTTAATTCCCTTTGAATGGAGCCCCGAGGCTGCTCCTTAAAGAGGCCTCCTAGAAAATGAGAGGCCACATGGAAAAGACCCTAGCTAGCACCAAGGGCCAGACATGAGACTGAGGCTATCACTGACCTTGCAGCCCAGGTGACCCTCCAGATGAATGCAGCTGCATGAATGAGCTTAGGCAATATCAGCAGACAAACTGTCCCCCAAACACATAGAATCATGAGAAATTTTAAAGCATTCTTGTTTCGGGGCTCTAAGGTTAGGGGGTGGTTTGCTTCACAGCAAAGGCTAACAGAGGCCCACATGTCATCTATCACAATATTTTAAAGTATATTGTAAATGTTTACAATACACTTTCATAAAGACCTGCAGGCCAGGTATGAATTCTTGAGCCCCTTGACATTTAGTGCAGCTCTCAGAGAAATAAAGTCATGGAAGGGACCCATGTGGGCCCTGAAAGCTAGTGTGTAGGAGAGAGCTACCATCTTGGCCCCAAAGACTCCTTGATAAGGGTAGAGGCATGGCGGAGGAGGGTCAAAATGGGATATTATAAATAAGGGGTCCAGTCCCAGGACAGAACTCTGTATTTCTGTAAGTTAACACAAAGACACAAGAGACTGATCTACCAGTTTTTTCCTCTTTCATAAGTCAATACACCATCGCATACAGAAGATAGTCCATAGATAGGAAATTGGTGCATAAATATGTATCCATGAGCTTTAAAAGAAAGTCTTTCATTACAAAATGAGATGGTCTCAACATTCCTAATATTGAACTTCAACTCTCTCCCAAGTGCCATCCAACTGCTGGCTACCATGCTAGCACCAAGATATGCACCAACTGATGAAAAATAAAAAGCAGCCAATATTTTAATGACATTGGAAAGATGACATTCTGGGCAATGTTTATACTTTAATTATTAAGCCAGATACATTTTTGTTTGAAGCAATGAAAATCTGATGAGTTTTCAGCTACATATGAATGAACTGCCCCCCAAAAGTACAACTGGCATACATTTAGATACACCTCTTAGAGTTTAGTTATATGTATCATTCTTCCAGGTTTCAAAATAAGGCTAGATATTTCTCTAGCCTAGACTTTTCTATGAAAATTTCTAACAGCTTTTTGTCCTCAATGAAGCGAATAATATATAAACATCCTAATTTCTATAGGACTTCAAAATCCCTGCCATTTTTGAACCTCTTCTCCCTCCCCCAAAAAACTAGCAAAAAATTGGTTTAGAAGTTTGATAAATTTCATCTAACATTCTAGGAGGCTAAGGTGGGTGAATTGCTTGAGCTCACGAATTCAAGAGCAGCCTGAGCAAGAGTGAGATCCTGACTCTACCAAAAATAGAAAACCTAGGGTGGAGGGAGGGGGTTTGGAGGGATCACTTCTGAGGTTTATCTTATAGGGGTACAGGTGAATCTTTCTAAGAGTAGAATGTGAACGTTTTAAAGCAATAACTGAGAAAATGACATGAAGGCTGTGTTGACCAGTTTGATGGAAGTATTTCAGATTGCATGTGAAAACCCCACACTGTACCCCAGAAGTGCATTAATGTACATAGTTACAATTCAATAAAAAAAAAAAAACAAACAAAAATAGAAAACCTATCAGGGGATTGTGGCAGGCACCTGTAGTCCCAGCTACTTGGGAGGCTGAGGCAAGAGGATCACTTGAGCCAGGAGTCTGAGGTTGCTGTGAACTATGATGACACCAAAACACTCTACTCAGGGCAACAGAGTGAGACTTTGTCTCAAAAAAAAAAAAAAAAGCACCTGTAATCCTAGCACTCTGAGAGGCTGAGGAGGGTGGATTGCCTGAGCTCACATGTTCAAGACCAGCCTGAGTAAGAGCAAGACCCTGTCTCTAAAAATAGCCGGGTGTTATGGTGGGACCTATAGTCCCAGCTACTTGGGAGGCTGAGGCAAGAGAATCTCTTGAGCCCAAGAGTTTGAGGTTGCTGTGAGTTGTGACACTAGAGCACTCTATCGAGGATGACAAGTAAGACTCTGTCTCAAAAAAAAAAAAAAAAAAAAGAAGTTTGATAAATTTCAAGTTGGCTTAATTTTTGTTTTCCAGAACTAATCTGGTTGTCTCTAATTACATTTTTACTTGCTTCTACTATTATATCATTAATATTTAATATAAAAATATGCTAAAAGATAAAAATCTTCCTTTTGTTTTCATTTCTAGTTACTCTGTGCAGCCACAGAATGAATCTGCCATGTGATAACTCAGGGACTTGGCTCACATCAGCCCCGGTCCCACACAGCATCCGCAGTCACACAGGGAGCCCTCACACACATTTTGATTCACAAAAGCGCAGTGTTTTCTGGCCTCCTTCCCAAACTTCCCCTGCCCCCACCCTCAAAAATATCTTCTCCATCTTCTCAGCATTCTTGCAGGTACCTGGGAAAATTGCAAGATCAGCTCTGACCTTGCCCCTGACACAAAAACTGGGGAATACATCACTCGCACTGAATTTGGAAAGGAGCCCACTGAGTGAGAAAATTCTAGCTTCGCCTCCCAATTCATCATTCACGATACACAGCAGGGCACAGGGCTGCACTTGCTGCAGGGAAACTGTGACTTCAAATTGCAAGGGATCATAGTTGTCAAGACACCAAAACTCCTTTCCCCCTCTTCAGCTCCATGGAGAAAACCTAGAGAGTATTGTTTTAATAAAAGAAATATGGTGATGAAGGAAGCCTGTGAAAGCTCAGGCTGCGAGCTCTCCCAAGTCGCTGTGTGTAAGGTTAATTGGCAGCAGTCTCCAGCTCGTGTTTATGTGGGAGAAGTGGAGGCATCCTCTCCATTACACCAGCCTGAGTTTTTAGGTTTAATCAGGGCTCAAGGGAGAGGGTAGTAGCAATAATAATAATAATTAAGCCACCCGCAGTGGCTCACACTTGTAATCTTAGCACTTTGGGAGGCCAAAGCAGGAGGATTACTTGAGGCAAAAAACAACAAAGTGAGACACACACCCATCCTACCACACCCTTGTCTCTACAAAAACAAAAGTTAGCTGGGCATGATGGTGTGTGCCTCTAGTCCCAGCTACTCGGGAGGCTGAGGAAGGAGGATCACTTGACCCCAAGAGTTTGAGGATACACTGAGGTATGATAGTGCCACTGCACTACTACAGACTGGGCAATGGTGTAAGACACCATCTCTCTAAAAATCAGTAATAGTAAATAAGGGCCGGGCACAGTGGCTCACGCCTATAATCCCAGCACTTGCATTGCCTGAGCTCACGAGTTAGGGTTAGGGTTAGGGTTACCTGACCAGCCTGAGCTACAATGTGACCCCATCTCTAAAAAATAGCCAGACATTGTAGCAGGCACCTGTAGTTCCAGCTATTTGGGAGGCTAAGGCAAGAGGATCACTTGCGCCCAAGAATTGGAGATTGCTGTGAGCTGTGACACCATGGTATTCTACCAAGGGTGACCAAGTGAGACTCTGTCTCAAAAAAATATATAATAATAATAATAATAATAAAGTCACTAACATTGAGTGTTTCTTCTGTGCCAGGAACTATGCTAAACTGTTATCAAACAATATGTCATTGTCATAAACTCTAGAGTCAGACCACTCAGGTTTGAATGGAAAAACACCATATGATAACTAAGAAACTTAGGTTTCTTAACCTCCATGTCTTAGTCCTCTCACCTGTAAAATGGGAATAAAAATAGCCCCGCAGAGGATCATCGTGTAAAATAAATGATTAAATACATATATAAAGTGCTTAGAATAGTGTTGGCCGGCCCAACCGGCTAAGGTGCCAGCCATGTACACCTAAGGTGGCGGGTTCGAATCCCCAGCCC